TGTTATATTTTGTGACAATACTTCTGTGCATGGAAGTCTGATTGCAATCCCATCATTCAGTAGCAAGAATGACCATGAAAAACACTGAGAAAAATATGTAGCATTAAGATCTTACAGTGTAACCTTAAATAACCTCCAGGCATCACCATGGCTCAGTCCTGCCTCTTTACACTCAGATTTAAACAACTAGGGCCTATTTTCAGGAAGTTAATGGAACCAGCAGAGATAATTCATTACTCAATCACGGCTAACCACAGGGAAAAGTGACTCAGCAGAAAAACCTGCAGGGATTTCTCCACACAGTCAGAAAAAAGTTCACTGGGAATTTATGGAAGTCATCCCTGCAGTAACCTGGTTTCAAACAAGGAACCAGCAAAACGAAAACAGAGTCTAGGTGAATGAATGAAGGGATGAGCGGCTGGTCAGAAGGATAAACGGGTGGATTAAACTTTAGAAAATGGGATAAGAACAGAATCTGAATATACTAATGTTTTCCTACATACTTTTGCAGAGGTTGAAAACAATAAAGAAACATTTTCTGTTTTAAATCAGTTAGGACTACAGTAAATGCCAGAATAACAAATTTTTATTCATTTATTGGCCACACAATACAAATGGTGTGGATGCCAGTAAAGCAGTTAAAAAAGACATTTTATTCCCAAACCTGATGCTGAATTTAGTGACTTAAATGCTGAAATTCTGTTTCTGTGGTGGAGTACGAACGCCGTGACGAGAGAAAAGATGAGACGATAATCCTGGTTAATCACAGTCGAGAAATCATCGCAATATTTTCCAACAATATCCCAGTTGCATATTTTCCTACTATTGTGCAGCTATTATTTCAGAATTTATTCAGTTCACAAAACTTTTATTGTCATAATCTGAATTTCTTTCACATTTCTTCCCAGATTGAGTTAAGAAAAATGTCACCAAAGCAAAAGCCATTTAATTTTTAGGCTTTAGAAAGATTTTAGTCTAAAAATTGTAAGAATGTTGCATTTCTTGCAATATTAGCAGAATACTGGCAACTAGAATGTATAAATCCAGCCATGTAGGTAGTAGCTGCAGAATGAGTCAGATGGATGGTGGTTTATAAATCAGTCAAACCTTCATTCGGCTGCTGCTCAGTTCATTTTCTGCTGTCGGGCTGTAAAAACCAGTCTGAAACTGGGACTGAAAAACAAACCATTAACAGTGAACCCTCAAAACTGGATGCCGCTGCTCTGCAGAGGAAAATCAACCATCTAACCAGACTGAAGAGAGCAAGTCTGATGAGATTTCAGATCCATCCAGACGCATGAAGGCCGTGCAGCGAGTTGCACAGACAGAATGTCTTGTTTGCTTTCCCACAGTTCACGGCCTTTTAATGCATTACACGGACAAAGCTGCACATTTGCAAGCAGCTCATAAAACACTGCAGCTGCTTTTCTCCACAGCTGCAGGAATACAATGGAAGGAGAGCAAAGTATTCTCACTTAAAAAAATAAAAAATAAATAAAGAGCAACACTGGTGATGATGTTTGTGCTACAAGTTTCAAGCAAGAATCTGAAAAGTAGCTAAACTTGGCAACAGGTTCAATCCGGTCAGCCAGACAAAGCTGCTGTGTGTAAACACCAAAAACTAACAGTCTCCTCAATTAATTAAGTTGAAAAAAGAGCTTATGTGGGTATTTATTCCCCAGATTTTTGCTCTAACTGAATCCAGACATGTTAATTTGAGGCTGCGCCCAAACAGACTTGGAGTGGCACTTCTAAGAGCACATTTTCAGGGAAGGCAGTCTGGTCACATGAAGGTGACTCAAAGCAGAGCGCTGTTTTTGCTGAGGAGGCCATAAATCCTGTCAGCTCACATTGCTGCGTTTACATTCTTAGCATTGCTGATTCTTGCACCGAGGCGTTCAGGGGTTCAGCAGGGAGCCAATTCAAGCCGACTGCGTGTCGGAGGGAATGTGGAGGATAGCAGTCGACTCCATTCGGTCCAGCTGTTCGAATGTTCAGACAACGAAAAAATTGATGTCTGTTTCTACGCAAGATTAGAGCTACGGATTTAAACATTGATGAGAAGCCAGTAACTTCTTACAGAGGAGTTGAGAGACGCCAGAAGGCTTTACACATTTCATAAGATTAACTATGAGTAATCCGCAAATCAGCTGTGACCTCACCGCTAACACCGTCAGCTGTTATTAAGAATAAAAAGCATTTCAGCGAAAGTTTAGCTCATAAGGGAAACAGAAAATAACAAGAAATCTACTAAGAAAAAAAAGAGAATAAAGTCATAAAATTATGAAAATAAAGTAATTAAATTACAAGACTGAAGAATAGTCATAGTATTATTAGTCTAAAGTCATATTACGACTTTATTCACATATTATTTCAACTTTCTCCTCGTACAACTCCATCCATCCATCCATCCATCCATCCATCCATCCATCCATCCATCCATCTTCTTTACACCGTTGTCCCTTGGTGGGGTCGGGAGGGGTGCTGGTGCCTCTCCAGCTAACGATCCGGGCGAGAGGCGGGGTTCACCCTGGACAGGTCGCCAGTCTGTCGCAGGGCAACACAGAGACAGACAACCATGCACACACACACACACTCACACCTAGGCCAGTTAACCTGACAGTCATGTTTTTGGACTGTGGGAGGAAACCCACGCATGCACAGGGAGAACATGCAAACTGAACATGCAGAAAGACCGGGGCCGGGAATCGCTGCAAGGCAACAGCTCTACCAACTGTGCCACTGTGCAGCCCCATACAACTCTATTCTCATAAAATGATTTTGTTCTCGTTTATCCTTGTAATTTAGTTTTTTCATTTTGTTTTTAGCATAGGGTTAGGGGTTAGCCCTAATAATCCTTCGTATTATCCAGTTGTGGGACTGTGAAAAGTATTGGCATCAGCTTTCTACCGTTTTTTTGTTTGTTTGTTTGTTTAGCAATAAAAAGTACAAAATGCAGCTTTTACATAAAGATTTGCTAAGGAGAAAAGCTCTGCAAACCAACCCAGCTCCATGTGAGGAAATATAAACCACATTCTCTTAAAATAATTACCAGATCTGAAAAAGCAAAATCTAAAAAAACAGAACAGATGTGAACCAATTCACTGACGTCATCAGTCTGGAATGATGACTGATGACCGATTAGCAATTTCTAAAGCTTTGAGCGAACCAACACGGCGCGGCTGGCCAACCAAAGTTACCCCAAGAGTTCATCTACAACTCATCCAGGAGGTCACCTGCACCTGAAGCACCTCAGGCCTCATTTGGTTTGGTTTTGAGTTTCAAGTTTTAAAAGTATTTTAAGATTTTCACGTGGACAGACAGAAAGGTCAACAAAAGCAAGTTCAACTTAAATGACTCAAAACACCCAGAACAGAAGAACAAAACGAGCAAAAGAAAAGAGTGGATTTATATTTGATTACCTTTAGAGGTCAATATCAAGATTTAACTAAAATATGGAAAACAATGTGAGCTGAAGCTCTTTTTGTTTTCAAGGCAGAGTATCGAATGTCTCTGATTTTCATGGTCATGTTGGTCACTTTAAAATCTAAATTGACCCACGTGACCTTTAGGCTGAATATTAGGAGTTAATTACCTAATCTATTCTGACCACTAAAAAGGACATTTCTCAGTGGTCATTTGCTGAATATCTAAAAATGCAAGGGATTGGTCAAAGCTTCTCATAAATTTAAATACAAATTGAGGAGCACATATTATTTCAGCTGTGTGCGTCGGTAAACTTCTCTTTGAACAAAATGTTTACCTTCACCAAATTTTACTAACATACCTAATTAATCCATTGCTAGTAATCAATGGATTAACTAGGTATGTTAGCTATTATTACTGTAAAAATATCAATACAAAAGGGAGTAAATTTATATTGCATGTCACATATTTGTGTTTTAATAGTGAAAAAGGCAGATTAGGGTGTTTCTTTATAGGAACCAGAACCTCTGGACTGTTACAATGCATCTTCTTAAATCTCCATCTTTCTAACAGATGCTGCAGATCTTCTATAAATCTGTTGTAGTGATTACACACTTGTCCTATCATCTTTTTTACAACAGAATGTCTTCCTTCAGCCAGAGGCTTCTCTAGAGCCGCTGAGACACAAACCACTACAGGAGATCTTTCCTGCCCACAGCCAACTGCATCTACAACAACCTTAGATAATATGGATTACAACAACATTCAACTTCCCTTTGAGATTAATGAAGTTATTTTTGACCCGAGTTGCCTGTCTGCACGGCGCAACCTGAGTGAATTAACCATTAAACCTCTCCAAACAAGCCCCACAATATTTCCTCTCCCCTTAGACTGCTACTGCAACAGCATGTTACCGTGCATTTTAATTAAAGTGTGCAGGCAGAGGCCGAGCCTTCAGGGATGGAGGGATGCTAAAAGAGGATCCAGACCGTGTCATCCTGCCGCCGTGGCCACGCCTACCGCACTGCAGATCAAAAACAGCCCAGTACGTCGCTCCAACCGGCCCTAATACACCACTTTCATCGCCCCAACTGTGCCTAAATCCAACATCCTCTCATTGCGACTCAGCTGCCTTCCGTATTTACACGTAAATCCGCGGTTAAAGGTGCGGGAAAAGCGGCGTTTTGCCCCCCACTGTCTGTCTCGAAACTTGAACACGTTAGCTTACTTCACCGAGCCAGCCTCGGACTTTCTTCAACAAAATATTAGGCGCTGTGAGCAGCCAAAAAGCACCGTGTCACCCCTCTGTTTGGCACACACAGCCAAACGGTGGCGTATGGACATCAACAGCCCGGGTTTCCTGAGCAGAAGAGCCGCGACAGCTCGACTTTTTTTCCGCCTGAATACAGTGAAAACCCTCCATATCATATCATGTGTCATCATCGTCCGCGGCGGCCGTGACCAGAAACAGGACATTTTTTAAAAGGACACAACGAACCGGGAACGTCTCTTAAAAGCAAACAGGGAGTTTGTAAAGAAAAAACAGGTAATATTATAAGAGAGAGGTTGGTTACCAGACGGAGCGTCCTGTTCAGCTGTTTCTGGGAGCTGCATTCATTCAGAGTGGGCTTCTGTTTCCTGACAGCGCCGCTAACTGTGCTGCAGTTCCCCTCCTCAGCAGCCTATCACACTCCCCTGTGTGGCTCAGAGTAGGATTGTGGGATATCAGGACAGCCAGGGCATTATGTTTGGCAGCACCACCAACAATTTGCCCACACTCTCTCCTTTTTGGCAGCCGAGTTTCCATTAAATGGTGCCACATGTATAGGGAAAGTGTTTTTGAGGGTTGAGCCGGCTGAGAAACTTCATAAATGCCCCCTTCCAGCAACAAACAGCTTTTGGGGGAGGCAGTGAAATGACATGGGGAGGGGACTAATTGGAAGCAATTACAATGCATAAATATCAAGATTAAATTTTGCAAAAAGGGCCAATCTACACTGTTAGGGCGAATTCACACCAGTCCTGTTTAATCTGCTTTATTCATTTGCCTAGAAAGTCCAGTTCGCTTGGGGAAGAGTGAATGCGCTATTGAACAAAGCAAACTCTGGTCGCCTAAAATCCTCGGTCTCCATTTGGTTGAAGTGAACTACGGTGCAGTTCAGATGCATATGTGAATACCAAGTGGACCAGAGACCACTCCAAAAGCAGGAAGTAGATTACCACGCAGAGCATTCTGGGTAAATACAACAAAATATTATGGATGGATTATTACAACCTAAGCAACCTAAGCAAACTCTTAGGTTGCTTAGGTTGTAATAATCCATTTCAGCGCTAGCAGAAGAAATGGATTGTGGTCGAGAAACCCTACCGCTGCTAAAATCTGACGCTACTCCTTTTTTTTTTATTTTGAAAAGGAGGAAGCTGAGCTCATGTCTTCTTCTGAGCTTTTCGTGTTGTTTCGTTGAATAGTTCTCGGTGCAGCGCCATCACAGGTGAGGAGGGGAACAGGTATTTGAAAGAGTTTGGTTCATTTGAGACTGCAGTGTGAACTGCACCGGCTGAAGGTGTAATAAATGTTGCCATTTTGGTCCCCAATTGAACCGAGTCTACCAGACTGTCAGGTGTGAAAACACTCTTAGCAACCAGAGTCCATCCTCCAAGATGACGATGCTCGCCCTGACAGTACGGGGTCTGGTAGACGCCTCTTTCAAAAAACATTTCAATCATAAGATGTCTCTGACACGTCTATCCTTTATATCAGAAATGCACTTCCTTCATAGATTCTTCTGTTAAATATCAAGTTTGACACACTACTACTGTGACATGAGCAGTTTAAAATAAGTCTGCAGAGAATGCTACGTCCCTAGAGCGAATGTGCACAAAGGTATAACAGTAGCTTACGGCACATGTTTGTTAAATTAATGTACTGCTAAACTGCCAACATGCCTTGTTTCTTCACACTGCAATTGTCCAATCCAATAAAAAAAGCACCAAACAAGACTCAATAACAGAATGAGCTGCTTGGTTTTGGCAGATAAGAACTGGCAAGTTTTTCATGGGTGCAACCCACATACTCGGTCGGCTCTGCTGCTCAACCCACAAAACACAAATGTGGCCCCATTTAAGGGGAAATAAAATTTTTCCCAATGGTAAAGAATTTATTGCCAAGGAGCATTGGTGCAATAAAGAATAATCAAAACAAACATACATTTAACCAATTTTTTTTTGCCAACTATGGAGACACGGAGCAGCCTAATTTATGGCATGGGGCCTGCTCCTTCTGTGGACAAAGACAGCTCCAGTCATGTCTATTTAGGAAAATGTGATTGGGTTAGACTGATTTATGTGTGGAATGTAACAGGTAATTTCTAAAGTCAGTTATTTCACTGGAGTTGGGCCTTATGAAGTAGCAGAAAAGAAATACACAAGCCTGAACCTTCTTCTAATTTTTTTCACATTATAACCA